ATGCTTCACAGATAATCCGAGAGCTCTAAGAGAGAGGAAATACGTTAGCTTTCTAGTCACAGCACAAATGGATTTGTGTGCAGGGTTAATTTAGACCAATTTATGCTCTCCACCTTGTCATACTCCATGCTTTTTCCTGTCTCCAAACAGCTAGGTGTGAAAGGAGAAACGGGAGAGTAGGCGAGATACCTTTAGAAGTTTAGGGAGATCACTGCGAACCTGGCTCTAAGAGAGAGGAAATACGTTAGCTTTCTAGTCACAGCACAAATGGATTTGTGTGCAGGGTTAATTTAGACCAATTTATGCTCTCCACCTTGTCATACTCCATGCTTTTTCCTGTCTCCAAACAGCTAGGTGTGAAAGGAGAAACGGGAGAGTAGGCGAGATACCTTTAGAAGTTTAGGGAGATCACTGCGAACCTGTTCTCTTCTTTCTCCAAACTTATTGGCAGCAGTAGATTATTTCATGTTGAACCTTGCTCAGAACCATAGCTTTGAGGCTTGCCTTGTCTCTCCTAGATTGGTTAAAAAGTTAACCGTAAGTTTAAGTGGCCTTATTTAAGGACTTAACACTTTCAGGGAGTCCTGGGGTCAGAGGCAGGTCAGTTACTTCCTCTGAGGTCTGTTGTGCAGTCTGAATGAAAAATGAGGCACAGCTGAGGTGGCTTAGACAAATCACATGGTGATCAGGTAAGGCTTTTGCTTGGTTGTGAATTCCAGTGGTGTAAGGTACCAGTGCCAAAACTCAAGGCTTAAGCCTGGGCAGATGTAATCAAACACGGCTAGGGAAATGATGAGACAAATCTGCATGGCTTGCTGTGTGTTAGATTTTTTTTTTTAAATTCAATATAAACGAGTTTTAAAAACTTCCTTTCTTAAAGATCCACAGTTGTGGATCTTAAATAATAGGAAAGTATTTATAGTTGTCTGAAACCCTTCGTTATGCTCTGCTCAGGAAGTAAATAGATAATCGAGAACGGAAACAAAAATTGATGCTCAGGGAACTTGGCTAGTTGTTAGTAGGTGGAATTCACTGAGCCTGCAAGCAGGCAAAAATAGCTTTGACTTGCTCAGAAAAGAACTTGCTCAAAATTTAAGAATGAAGCTTGTGTAATTATTGCTGAAAAAGTTATTTTAACTGGAGCAAATGATGGGGTGAGCTTTCTCTCATTGTCTATGGCTGAGGCATCTGATATGTTCATGAGCAGAAAGCTCTTAATGGGGCTAAAATACCCCATTGTGTAGGTCTTTCATCTTAATTACACAACAGAATGTTTTGAGGTAGTATGGATTTTCCTAATCACGTTAGGAGAAGAGCAGTCCATCATCTTCATGGAATTTGTTTGCAGGGGTATTTATTGAACTGCTTTTCTAATAATTAAAAGAAAATTTTTGGTGGATTTTTGATGCTGACTGAACAAAAAATTGAATTGAAATTTTATCCTTCCCACGTCCCCCTCCAGTACACACGTTGTGGTGCAGCTGCAGGCACGTGAATTGCTGAGAGGAATGGTTCTGTGAGCATGCAGAAGTAGTCAAACTGCTGTGCAGTGACGCCTGCCAGTCCTAAAGAAGTCTAACGATGTTTTTTGAAGTCATTTAGAATCAAATGCTGGACTTGATGCCATGCAAAATGGAGCCTTGAGCGATCTCTTTTGTCTTGTGCCAGACATTGGTTCTTGCCTCCTTTGCCGTGTGGCAGTAGTAACTGATCCATTAAATAGAGAACATGGATATTCATGGTTGTTGGGGAAAGAAATGGCTGACGGTTCTGAAGCAATCACTCAGTGGCAAAGGATGTTGCTGACATTTTCTCTGTCTGCCTCCAATTATCTTTGCAGGGCTTATCATGGTTTTAGCAGGGGCATCTGAATTTGATCCTCAGTACAATAAAGATGCTACGAGCAGACCAGCAGACAACATTCAGATACCACAGGTTAGTTATATCAAGAGATGTTTTATAAATAACTGACCCCTTCAAGGGAAGAGGGAGATGGTGCTTCGAGGTGACCAGATGACAGAATTCAAGTTCTCAAGGCATTAATTTTGTTGAGATGCAACTGTCTCTCTCCAGAAATAGAAATTAGAAGCTACACTTAATTTAATTTTTTTAAAAGAAAAGATAACATTAATTGCAGATAATGCTTAGCTTAAATGGAATCAGTTTAGTGTATAGACTGCTGGGTTGGGTTTTGGGGGAGGGGTGAACTAAATAGGGAATTAGTGTCAGTCCTTATAAATTTTGAGTATTGATATAAGGAGGTGATTGCCATTTGATAAAGTTCTTTTAAATCATTAACACAGATCTGGTTCGTTATGTTAATACTGAAATAAAATTATTATCTGATGTCTGAATTAATAATATCTTTAAATATTATAAAGATTCCTTCACGAATGTCAGTTCCCCTCTGGTTGCCTTTTATTTTCATTTCCACTCAGTCTTCCCAACAGAGATGCCATAATGCATACTGTGGCAAATAATTATTGCTAGCAGAGTTTTAGGAAGTCTTACTTATCAGAAACGAACACTTTGGTTTTAAGAAGTTTAAAACACAGTATACAAAATGCTCCAATGAAAATGTTTTGAGCTTGCAAAGTCGGGGGGCCTAGTCTCACAAATTTAACCTTCCTGTGCATGCAATTGAATTTTCATAAACATACTTTGTGTCCTAAACATAAAGAAAATAGTCTGAGAAACCTCTTTACTCAATTGTCTTTGTCTGTTTTACAAATTCTTTATCATCTTGTGGACTTTAAGAGAAGTAGCTGGAATTGTGGTTAGGTGAGGTTTTTCAGCAGGCATCGTGCTTGGGAGCACAGGACAGAAAGATCACCTTGATCATCAGTTCTTCTCCAGTACTGTTGCAAGCACTGGCATCATGCAAACCCTTTACATTTAATCATTCTTTATTTAAAAGGCAGTCAAGTCTCCTGTAACCATAGCCTACTGAGAAGTTGTTCCAGAACTTGCTGTTCTAGTGGTTAGGAGTCTTGTTTGCGACCAATTTATATCCGTATTTTTTGTCATCATTATTCTTAAGTCTAAATGATTCTTGCTGTGTGTATCCTTAACGCGTTTATAGACAGAAGCAATAGCCCATTTGTTCTCTTTTTGTCTTCATTTTGCTAAACTAGAAAAGCTGTTGTCTTTTAATCCCCTCTTTCCCAAAAGGCTCTTCATTTCCCTCATCCTGCTACATGCTGAATAAGGTACTGTCCCCAATTAAGATATTTCTAAATTTTACATTATTTTTTATTTTGCCTGCTCAGAATTGTCCACGGTATTCCATGTTAAGTCTTAGCAGTGCCTTGGTGGCACTGCTATTCCTGTATTTCCGCAGGGAATAACTTTCAGCATACTGTTTTCCACAGCTGTTTCATTTGGTGGTTTAATACAACTAGTGTGGGATTGCTGTTTTCTGGATTTCTCTCGTCTTATACACCCCTGTTTTCCAGCTAACAAGCTCCCATCTTCGAGCCACCGTTCCTGTTAGTATGCAAGTGCATGACCTTGCATTTTATATTGTTGGATTTTGTTCCATTTCTAAAGCTCCAGTCATCAGTGTCATCCGTGGTTTTTTTTTTTTTTCTTAGTATGTGGCAGTACAAGTCTCCAAAGCATCAGTGCAAAAGGGTATTGCTAATAATTTTTGTTAGTGTATCCTGCTTTTTGGGCCATGATCATTGTTCCCATTCTTATTTTACTGTTTTATCGTAAACCCAGTATCGATACTTTTTATAAAAGTTTTCTTATCAAAGTTTCAGTCATCTTGGTCTGGTGTTACCGCAGGATGTGCTTATAAGGAACTTCTTGTTAGAAGATCTTTTTTCAAGTGTAGGGAGAGCCTGGTCAAAGGTCAGTGTAGCCTGGCTGCTGATACCCTAACTTCCCTTTGTGTTGGAGATTTTGGAACCTCAATCTCTCCCTATGTGACTTGTTGACCTAAAAAATGAAGCTTCTGGGCCATGTATTGATTCTTACAAACTATGAGCTTCTTGCTCAGCTTTGCAGCCTCTCCCTCCAGGGTCTTCAACAAATTCAGGTGAGAGACCTGTTTGAACTGTGCATCTTGGTCTAGTCAGGATCAAGACAGGTCATCCTGAATAAAGAATACCATGCTTTTTCAAGTTGGTGCTGTTTATAAATAAGTTAAAATACTTGCTCTTCAGCCTACGAGGGAGTTCAGGTTTATAACCCTCCTTCCTGTGATACTTGAGACTATTTTTGAGGAAGTTGGCTAGGTCTTAGGTGGGTGAAAGGTCTCAAGATGATGCTATTGCTAGTGCATATTGAATTTCATATAAATACCATAGAAATCTAGTAAACCTTGGCAATAAAATCAAATTCTAAAAATACTTATCTATCAATACGAATTTACTCAATACTATTCAAGGCAAGTTTCTTGTGTGCAAATCTTTACTTCCCCCTCCTTGCCCCCATATTGAAACAAGGCATTTAAAGATACTTCTTAGAGCTGGGTTATGAATAAAAATGGCTAACATTCATCTCTACAGAACCTTCCAGGGAAAAGTTACTTGAAGGCTTGCTTTTGTGAATGTAACTTTTTTTCCTTGTAAACTGTTCTCCTCCTGTGTTTGTTTCTCTTTAGCACCAAAATAGCTATTTGTATTTAATTATTTTATTTTAGCTAATCAGAGAAATTGGTGGCATAAATTTAAAGAAGAATGAGCCTCCACTCACCTGCCCTTACAGCCTGAAAGCCAGAGTTCTGCTGTTGACTCATCTTGCCAGGATGAAAGTTCCTGAGGTCCTTGAAGAAGGTAATGGCTTCTCCACTAATTGGATATTTTTGGAAACAGAGCAACACACTGCATGCTACAATACTCCTAAATATACTTTTTGTGCATTAAAGAGTTGCATGGATCTCTGCTCAATAATCTGTATGCAGTGTACTTGGTTTTTCAACTGTAATGACTCTCTAAAACATTTACTTAGCATTTTCTCATTCTCTCGATAGCCCTGTAATACTAATATCCTAGTTTTTAATGCTTTTTGGCTGCAAATGTGACTTTGATAAATTTTTTTTTTCTTTGTAATAGAATAAAAAGTTAACATGTGAAGTGTACTTGCTTTTCAGAGTAAAGAAATCCAAGATAAGCATAATATTGCTCTCTACCTATAACATTTCCATTCATGGTTACTTTTGGAGTTTCGCCCTCAACTATGTAAAGCAAGGGTGACAAGATTAGAACTTTAAAATAGCAGTTACATATGAGCTTCAGTTTTGTGTTTTGCAATTTTTCATACTTGTAAATATCCAAACTGAAATGTTTCTAAATGCAGTTCTTAAGTTTCAACCATGAAAAGCATGGTTTCTTACGCTGACTAGCAAACTTGAGATGTTCTATATTTTAATGCAAATAAAAAAAAAAAACCAAAAAAGAACCAACCAAACAATGAAGATGCTTTGGTTCAAGTTTTTCAGTTTCTTTCAAAAGAAAAATGGTCAGTTTTAAATAGCCACTAAAAATAGCTCCTCTTCCTTGCCATTTAGTTACTGTTTGTAGTTAGAACTTCACAGATCTGTATAAAAAAGTAGTTAGAACTTTACAAATAATGTTCTTCCCAAAATTGGTGTTTCACTTAAAATTAAAAATCCTTTTTTTTAACCTGTGATTACCTGAAGAATTAATGCTATTTTAATAAGACTGGTAAATCATCTGTGCCATCCTGTTGCTTTTTTAGGTGGATCTAATAAGTACTTCTTGATTTGGTGTGGAAGCTGCTTGTCTGGTACACAAAATTTGTGTTGCCTCTTAGCACTTGCTCTTTCCTGTTTTGTTAGCGAATGTTACGGATGGACGTGTCAATGTGAATAAAGTGGTATTTTCAATAATACAAGAATGAATAGAAATGAAGACTGCAACATTAAATGTCCAGTTCATGTAAACTGTCCCCTTTTTTCGTAATAGAAGTGCAGCATAATTGCAGCCAGTTATGTCTTGCAGATCAGCAGTTTATCCTGAAAAAGAGTCCTGCACTACTTCAAGAAATGATTAATGTGATCTGCCAACTAATAATAATGGCTCGAAGCCGGGAAGGTAAGAAAAGAAACTGTATAATTAAAACTAGTAAATACGATTCTTCATTGCAATATTTCATGAAGTCTTTGGTTCTTGTGGTAAACTTAACCTGTGATATTTAGAAGTGCCTAAATGTGCTTTTGCTCTTTTCACTGTAATGAGAGAGCTCTGCATTTTGAAGATTGAAATGCTGCTGCTGCTGCCAAGCCCTACTCTGAAATCTTGAGTATCTGTGTTTCTCCTTAAATGCAATTGAAAACCTTTTCTTAAAGATCGGTCCACTTTTGGTAGCAAAGCACTTAGTATAAGACTTGTTGAACCTTGTGTTCATCCGTCTTTTGATTTGCACTTTCACAGTTCTTCCCCTTCTGATATGAGTGTCACTTGTGTTTTGGCTCATTTCTTTGCCGTCGTTTCTTGGTTTGTGTGTTGCTCATATTTTTCTATTTCTGGTTCCTATGCTGTTGAGCCTGCTATGTAGGTTTTTTTTTCCCCTGAACTTGTAGTGGCAGGTGCTTTGCCATAATTGGCATAGAAATTACAACTCAATTGAAATGTGATATGTAAGCTTTTTTATTTTTACTGTAAAAAGGCAATTATGCTGAAGATGGTAGCTTGCAGTGTAAAGAAACAAAGACTTGGATCTCATTCCGTTACTGCAACAAACATAGGCAAGGCATTTTTTTTTTAATGCCAAACTGGGGACCATTTTGCTTGCCATCAAATAATACTCATTGGTCGATCTTTACTAGACCAAAACTCCTTTAACAAGCATTGATAGCCTCCTAACAAGAATGGTTTTGGGGAAGGTCTTTCCCAGCACTATTGCAAGTGGTGCTGGAAATTGTGCTCCATAACCAAATAAAGTACAAGAGAGGGGATGTGAGCAGATAAGGCTGTTGCATGCTGGCTTACGTGTCCTATTTTAGAAGGAAGTATTGATTAAGTGTATTTCTATTTCTCTTTTAAACCCTATCTTTACTAGTCTGTGACACTGCTGGGGAGAAAACTCGGAACCTGGAAGGAAACAGTAGCCATATTTTTCGTTGTAGAAGTAATGTTCACTTAACATTAGATTATATTTATTAATGAGTATCATATTAAGAGCTCAGCTGTGGATAGATACTGGATATGTTTTTGTGAATATTCTCCAGACTAGCACAGTAACTAAATTGCAAAGATATCTCCAGTACAGATTTAAGCTGAGGAAACTAATGCTGTGAAACTTTTAGTTTAGTGGTTTAATAATTTATTTCATAAAAAGCTAAGTAGCTGTTTTGGAAGTGTTGGGATTTTTGTTGTTTGGTTTGGTTTTTTGAGTTTTGCTAGCTCAGCAGGCCAAGCCCACACATTACAGCTAATTATGAAAAGCGCTTGAGTGAAGACTTCTTTTTATTTGTTTATAAGCCCTTGTGTATGCCTAATATAGGTATGTAGGTATGTCTTTTTTTTTTTTAAATCTGGATAGTTTTTTTTATAAAAATACTTCAGAAGATGTCTTTTAAGATTACCTATGTATATATTAGTCAACTAGCAAATACTTGTTTTCACTTGTGCAAAATGAAACCAAAATAATACAGCCAGAAGCTTTTTTTATGCAACAGAACTGGAAGTCTTTGAAAAATGAAAACTACCTATATCTCTTCCTGTAAAAGCTGAAATAAGATACTTAACAGAGTACGTGATACACTTTGCAACTTGAATGACCTCCAAGTAGCTGTATTCTTCTCTAGTTCTGTATGTACATGGAGATACTTTTTTAATTTGACAGTAAAATGATTACTTATAGATGCAGTGTATTTAATAAACTGCTTTGAAGTTCCAGAAAATTTAGGTTTTAGCTTAAATTAAAATTAAAAAAAAACAAACAGTATTTTGGAAGACAATAGTGTAAACTAGTTTTCCATTTGCATGTGAAATGGAGGTGATGGTTATTAAAAAAACAAACCTAAACAACTTCTGCTACTAACAATTTCTAGAGATTTTCATGATCCCTGCCAACCTCAGTGAGTCTGTGAAAGTGGATGAGAAATTATAGTTGTCATTATGTATGGTAGCAGTTACTTCATAGATTTGGAAAAACTCGAAGTAGAAGTATATCATAGATATAGTTGAGGATTTGTTTGGTATTTCTTTAGCAGGTTTTCTCAAAACCATTTCCAAAGTTTTAAAATGGCAGTATTCAGAAACTTGTACCAAACGTTTCCTCTGACTTCCATGCCAGTGCTCTCAGCACAAGGCATTCAAGGGAAGGTGGTACTGAACGGTTGCCCATCAGGCCAACAATAATGAGGACTTGAAAGTAAACCATTTCAGAATTTTGGTCTTTGATCTAAAGGAAAATGACCATTTTTGCTACTTAGCAAATTTAATGTTGACCATACTTTTGATGACCGTACATGTAGAGAGAATTTTGTACCCCTGCTGACTATTGTTGGGAAACAACTGGAAATGGAAAAGGTGTCACTGTTTGGTTTTTTTTTTTAAGATACAAGTAAAATTATAGTTAGATGTTGAAATTTTTGAGAGACTGTTTTGTTTAAGTTTGTGTATTTGTCATCTTAACATAATTTTAAGTAGCTTAAAGCTTAACTACATATGTTTCTGGGTTTAGTTCTAATTTTCACTTAAATCAGCCTTGACATGGTGTATAAAGTTATCACATGCTATAATTAGCCATAGATGTTCAGCAGTCCTGATCTGTGAAAATACAAAGATGATAGCATGCATTAATATTATCTAAGAAATATTTTTGGGACAAATCTTATTTTGTGAAACCTAAATTGATGGTGGGATGAGGAGTCTCATTTGGCGCTGCATTCACTTACGTCTTTCAAATACCCTGAATATTATTATTATTATTATTATTATCATCATCATCATCATCATCTTAAAAATAACAACAACCATTTATGCATACTTTGTAATCAAGTCTTTTGAAGAAAAGCGCCTTGGATGAATCTTCAGAATCTTGGCACTTTGTTTTCCTAGTTAATTTTAAAAATGTCCATGTAGCATTCAACTATTGGTCCAGTGTCAGCTGTTCTTCAGGAACTGTAAGAAAGACTGAGAAACACTAAGGACAACACATCACAGAATGAGACAGTTCTGCTGTCTGAGCCCTTCGCACGGACAAGCATCATGCCTCCCCAGATAGCAAAAAGTGGTACCTCAGACTGCTTATGTATCCCTATAAAAGCCATGGACACTGCCTTTCTTATTAAACCCCATTAGAAACAATCTGTCACGGAAGAATGAGTGTAGGTTTGGCATAAAAATCGTTTAATCATGGTTACTTCTTAATTTTTAACAGAGCTATCATTCTTTGCAGATGAGTTTGGATTTGTTATTTCCAAGGAACAGTTTTAATTTGCTTTCATAAAAGCAAAATTGATACTATTTTCATTTCAGTCCAGTCAGTTTTTAGTTACTATGAGGCTTTTTCCAGCCTGGTGGAAAATGTGGCAATTGTGAGCTACCTTTGGATAAAATATATTTTATTCTCTTGCCTGATTTCCACATAGTCCGTGAGACTTTATTTTTACGTGCAGCTCCCTGAAAATACGCTTTGCTCTGTGGCATCCCTGGCTTGCATCCATTGTTTTGTGATGATTAGCTGGTAGTTGATCATCAGCGGGTCTAAATTATCCTGATGGCTTCTTTGAGATCATCCTTAAGTATCATAAGTAGTGAGCTGCCCTGCCAAGTGAGGTGTTTTGCTGCCAAAACCATGGAATGTGCTCGATTAACTGTCTGCAGAAAGGTTAGGCATCAGTTCAGCTGTGCAGTCAAAGGGCATTTCTTAATTCGGATTGGAAGCTGCAGTGTAATGTAGAGGTTGTGGTTTGACTCAGGTGTATGCCATTCCTTCACAAGCAACTATGGTTTGCATTTAAATTTGTGATTGACTACTTTAAGGTCATATGTTTTGGATGACTTTATGACCTTAGATTAAATGTCATCTTAGCTTGTGCGTTTTGACAAGCAGAAGGCATCAAAATATGTGCAGCAATGGCATTCATTTTATGGTGGGGCAGTTGCGTGGTATTAAAAGCTATACTGTCTCTCCTCAAATCCACTCTTGGGGAATATAAAGTCCTGTGTTATTTTCAGGAAACCAAAATAATATTCTTCAACTTTGTTAAAATACTGTTCTACTGTCATATGGATGATGAGTCAATGCTTTAAGAAAGAGAGGAATTTCTACTCTGACTAGTGCTCTGTGGTCTCAAAGCTCTAGGTGAATTTCCTGCAAAAGCCAGTTTGTCAGAGAATATGTAGGATTCTTTTATTAACTTGGTTTGCAGTGTGGGTTTTTTAAAATACAAAAAAATCCTGTGACTTTCCTTAGCAGCAGCCAAAAAAAGTATGGGGGAAGTAGAAGATAGGTAAGATGGAAAGTAAATTTTTTGCTATTTAGTTGGGAAATTAGTCTTTCCATTACTACTTTTTCTGAAAGGTGCAAGTTACATCTTTGTTACTTACCAGTATTTCTAGCTCGGTAGTTCCATTCATAATCCCTCTGGTGTTATTTTTCTCTTTGCTTTGCATATAATCTTCACAGTGTTTATTAGTATAATGGGTTTAAAAAAAAAAACAACACAGCTCCTGCCATGCAATTTGATTTGATAGCTGATTATATTTATAGGTTGGTGTAATTAATGAATAAACAGGCCATTCGAGGGGACAAGGGCAGGTGGAGCAGAGGTGATGGAGTGATCTTTCATATGCATTTAACATGCTGAAGGAGAAAACATACTGAAGACACCAAGTTGCGTTTTTTGGTCAGATTTGTTACCGTTTCGTATTTCCTCTGTAAAATGTTTTAAAATTAACTTAAACTCGCTTTTTATCAAAATACATGGCCATTGGCACTTAAATTAAACATTGAGCAATTTTTGCTTTGGTACCCTTTTGGTCAGGTGCTGGTTACACCTTCTCACCCAGGTGTAAGTAAACCTGCTTTTATCCACGTCTCTAATTGCCTTGGTATTGTGGTAAGCTCCATCACACAGCCCTAGCAGAGCAGGCATATCCCTTCTGACCATCTGTCTAATCAATCTATTGAAAGATGCCTCTACGCCCCTGTTGTAGTGTCCCAAATATACTGATACCAGCCAAATAAAGTCCATACCGAATATGCATATTTGTATACATATATATTTGTGTATGTACACACACAGATATTTGTATTCATACTTATTTTTATATATTTATATGCAGAATATACCTGTAACAGTCAAGGTAATCAAAGGCAGATTTTTTTTTTCCTGAGAAAAGGTTTTGAAGTATAGGGAAAATACACATCCTGATTCTTAAATAAAATGACAGGCATCATAAATTACAGGCGCTTTCTGTAATACTTGTTTAAAATTGCTTCAATTCTTTCATATGCCACATGTGAATTCAGAAAAAAAAATTAAGTAGCTTAAATTCCTCTTCGCTCTCTGAAGAGAATCTAACTTACTTTACCGTGAAACAGAGAAATACATATAGAGCAACCTGAACATTGCTGATTCTGGACTTGCAGCAGTTCTTGAGCTGCAGGGGAATTCTGAAGTGAGTTTTCTAAACAGGGTTTTGAGAAGTCTTATTTATGAATAGACAGTTCTCTAACAAAGTTAAATAGCAGTATGTGGACACCTATCTGCTTTGCTTTTTCATTTCTTTGCAGACGTGATAAAGAGTAAATGACTATTTTTTTTTCTTTTGTTCTCTTCTGGTTAAGACTTTCTCCTTGTCTATCTTTTAATTATTTTAATTATGTAGAGTGTATACCTCTTTGTACTTTAAAACATTAGAAGAATTATAGGTAACTTATAAAATAAAAGTCAAATAGATGTTTGCTCAGACACCCCTTGTAACCTCTGGGTTTACTTATAAAAGCCATGCCTTTGATATTTTTGTAGCTATTCTTACTGCCTTCTAACATAATATGCCCTGCTTAGCTTCAGTTATACCTACATTTTTTTCTTGCATGTAATAGGCTGCTACCTTTATGTTCATCTCTCCAAGATAAAAATTTTATAAATAATGTATTGTGTTGTAAAAGATTAATGTTTAATGATAAACTGTTTTTAATGATATGCTTACAAAGTAGAGCTAAACGCGTTATATACACACATATATAAAATGTACAAATTTAAAACAAGTCAGTTTTGATGTTGCTTTTTTTTTAAAGAACTTAAGCGGTGGAGTTTTTATAATAATTGCATAGATACATTGTGCTGTTGTTCCCTGAGACAATGTTAGATGGAAGTCTTTCCCTTTCTTAGTGTTTAGCTGTGGTAGTCTAAGTAGAGGGAAGAAAATGTCTGCCTAGCTGTGTGACTGCAATGAGAGTAAAAAGGCTGCCTGGTTAATTATGCTGAACATTTTAAGATGCCTCTTTTGCCTGACTGAAAACAAGGTTTTCTGTAGTCTATAACATAAGTATACATTGTGAAAGTGTAAGAAGGAAAAAAATTAAAAATTATGTTGTCTGTTTCATTCTCCCCAAGAAAGGGAGTTCCGTGCTCCATCTTTGGGATCTTTGGAAAATTGCATGAAACTTTCCCAGATGACTGTCCAGGGACTTCAGCAGTTCAAGTCTCCCCTTTTGCAGCTGCCTCACATTGAAGAGGACAACCTTAGGCGGGTCTCCAATCATAAAAAGGTATAAAACTATGAATGGTACTTGGTAAGGTCTTAAAACATTTTCTGTTACTTCTTTTACCTATTTGCCTGTAAGGAACCAAGGTCATGAATTAACTAAGAGAATAAAAATTTATGTATTTTTTCAGGAATTGAGTACAATACTTCCTAGATCTGTGTTTCTTTAAAGTCCATCACAGGAGGTGGGAATTAAGATCAGAGATCTTGTAAGTGTAAAAGAGTGTAAAAGACCAGTCTACATTCACCTCACAAACAGAAGAAACAGAGTTTTCTTCTTATTACAGAGTACTATCTCCTATTTAATGTAACATTTTTCCAGAATATAGCTGGGATATCCTATTGGGATTTTTTTTTTCTTGTTTGGCTTTACATCATTCTTAATCTAGTTTGATAGAAAATATATTTGGAAGGTAGCACAGAGGAGTTTGTAAAAGGAAAAAAAAAATCAATTACTGTGGGAAGTATTTCAGATTTTGTGATCCTTCATGTATGAAAGAGGATGCTTTAAAAAGCTATTGCTATGTAGTTGTAGCTGGGTAAGTGTTGGTATTTGTAGAATTTAAGGACAAAAAAGAATAATCTTTTCTGAATACCTGCATACTTGTCTTCACTCCTGTTGCTCTGACTATATCACTATATTCAAACCTGCTTGTTTGTTTGACTGTAGTGTATTTTCTAAGAACGTCTGGTTAGAAACAAGCAGTTACCTTCTAGTAGAAGCTGTTGACTTTTGTGATAGTCTTATTACAACGGTTAATTCTTACCAATCTTAACAATATTCTTTTTATCTAATGGAAGTTTTGTTTAGCTTTAGCTTGGGTGGTGTTTAAATGTTTCTGTGTTAGTGTGAAGATAAAGAATTCTTCAGTACTGCATTTTTTTAATCTTGTTCATCAAATAGTCAAGTAGTCTTCTCCTTTGGATGAAGTAAAAGAATGGTTCTTTCACAGGTATCATCAAACGCGTACTTTTCTTAATCCATCCCTAAACTACAGGGAGCATACAAAAAAAGCACACAATTTTAGATGTATTTTTTGGCATGTGCACTGTAACAAAGTACGGAAATCAAGAATTTGGCTGTCTCATAATCCCACCTGTCCTTCCCCTGAAAAAGGGATGAGACCGATTTATTAGGCTTGTTTGTGTAGGATTCCCATGCATTGAACTTTTCAAAAATATAGTCCCCTAGAGTGGAGGTACGATCAGTCTACCTAGATGTACAAAGTTGTTTTAAATAAAATATGCAGTTTTCTAATGGGCTGAAGTAATCAAGTGTTCAGACAAATCTGTTTGTTTTATCCTTTTCACTCTGCTCTTCAGATCCTAAAAAGAATGGGTTTAGATTTGTTTGCAACTCAATATTCAAAAGAAAAAAAAAATGTAACTTAATTGTTCCTGCTAATACAAATCTCAAAGCACTGAAGTATTCTAAATAAAGAATGCAATTAGTAAAATTTCTTGGCTCAGCTTTCTGAAAAAGCTGGCTGAAGTAATAGTTTTATAAGAAATGTATTCAGTTTCTAAGGGGTGACATAGTATGGAACACACCGATGTTCAAAACAGTGCTATTTAGCAGGTTTGAATGCAACCTCTTTGTTTTATTGTTTCTCAAAACATATGCTTGCTAGTTTCCTGAAGTATGTTTTTTGTAAGAACAAATCAAATGGTGTGTATGCATCAGTAATGCGGGGACACAAGTGATGTGTTATCAAGAGTTTATTCGTGGACTGTGTTCTCTGCTACCATGTGACTTCCTTTTTTCTTTTTTTTTTTTTTTTTTTAAATTCAGTATAAAATTAAAAGTATTCAGGATTTGGTGAGTTTGAAAGGTTCTGATCGTCGCAATTTACTGCACTTCCTAGAAGATAAGAAATATGATGAAGTTATGGCTGTCCTTGGCAGCTTTCCGTATGTCACTATGGATATAAAACCACAGGGTGAGTGGGAGGTCCTTTTGTTCTGTATATGTCGCTCTTCTGACATTTTGATAGTCTGTTGGCAGTAAGCTTTTGGAGGATGCTGAAACACAACTCACTGTTATTTATGTGGCCTGGAAATGACATACTTTTTTGAGTGGCGGGCTCTTGTACATGAGATTTATAGTCTGAGGAGATAAAGTACACTGAAACATTTCACAGATTCCCAAGCCAGCAGTAGTTTCTCCTACAGGAGCTTATCTGATATTTCATCTGTTGATTTAATATTTCATGAGCAATGTGAAATTCTGGTTGAAATACCACTTTTATTAGCTGTCTTAAAAAGTTGTGCTTATTCCAGAATTTATACTCAGCTTACTCCAGCCTGGAGAGTCCTTTGTGAGATTTTGAGTTGGAAACCCCGATGACTAAATATTCATGGGTTCCTTTGTGATAATCCTTGTATGGTTTTTATACGTGGCAGAATTTGTCCGTGCTATGCTGAGCTACGTTTTGTGTGCACTGTTTCAATGAATGTATAATGCTCTTCCTCTCTGAAGATTAGGTATATTGTTAAGCTATTCCTGTTAGACAGCCTTTCAGTGGAAAGTGAATTGGTTCTGCGGTCTCCTTTCCTTTGTAGAAGATCAGTGCTAGTAAATGTGAGATATTTGAAAGGTTGTTTTAATACTTGTTTCTAATTTATATTGTTACTGTGGTTGCAATGACCAAATTCAAAATGTGATATGTTTTGTTTGGGTAGCCTAATTTGTAATTTGGCTTATGCATAGTCCTCTGCGAGAAGCAAATGTCAATGGAAATACCCGTTAAGGAAGCAAATGTCTGTTAATCTTGGTATTTCTAAATGTTGTTTATGTGTGTTTTTTAGAAACAAACAAACAAAAGACTTTATCTTATTGTACCACAGGATTGTACATAGTCTGTAATCTGCTTGAAATTCAGTCTTGGAGTACCTTGCCGTATTTTGGCAAGCGACCCTTTTCTCCCTGTAGTCTTCATTTGTCACACAAATGTACTCAGGTGTGGTATGGAGGATTAAACAATGCATATGCTTTTCTGTTTAGCTCAGCATTATCATTATATAAAATATGTATGTAAAACTAGTGAATAGTAAAACTGCTTTCTCAGGGTGGGGGGCATAAATAAAATTTCTACATTGGGATATAACTCTATTTCTCACGAACCTGGGACATTCTCTAGTTCATAGATTTGAGATATAAACTCCTCAGTGGCTTTCTTGTGGGTTTTATGTTTTAGTTAAAATAATCATTGCTGTTCCTTTGTTTTCCTTTGCCTTCTACTTAAAGAATTAAATGCATGATTGTTAATGTGGCATTGAAATTGAGTTGTTCATCATATGAAAGTCAGGAAAATCAAAGTTATGGTTCCCAGAACAAATATAACAGGCTCCCTTTGGTCATATGTGGTATTTCATGTTTCTGAAGTTTTATGCTTTAATATATAATGCACAATATTACAGAGTTATCGTTCCCACAGCAGCTATAACTTTGAATTTTCTAACTTTCATGCAATTAAAATTTCAAACTCAATGTTGCTGTTTTATAGTTTGCTGCATTGCCAGCCCTCATCCTGATAGTATATTTGAGGTTGTAAGAGGCTTATTAAATAATATTTTAAAATTATTTTTTGTTAAAAATTTTGGAATTTGTATGCTTATATTTAGACATAGCAGAAACAATGTTTAATGGAAAAAAAGGCTTTAAAGAAGTTTAATAGATGTGTTGCTTTTCTTTTTACACTAGTTTTGGATGATGAAGACAGCAACAATATTACAGTAGGTTCTCTTGTCACTGTTCTGGTCACACTAACAAGACAGACCATGGCAGTAAGTATTAACAATACTTGTTCTTTCAGGGTAACTGCAAGTATATACTAATAAATAGGCATTTCTTCTTTGCAAGCTAACATAGTGTTTTGTAAATATAACTGTAAAATTAAGATTTGACATCAAGAAGTTGTGCTTTTAATCCTCCCTTATGTTTTTGTTTCTGCATGAGAAAGTTTTCCTGGAATCAAACCAAAGTTCAATCTGACCCATTGCAGTTGTCTAGGGAACAGTAAAAGAATATGGCAAGTGATACTGCCCTGAGGTTTGTAGATAACAGGAAAAGAGACATTCAGAAACTTAGTTCTTGAACTAGAATAGAGTATTCACTACAGTTCTTAGGACAGTGATTTCGCTTTACGTGGGCTCATAATGTTACAAATCTCTTGGGTGTTCTAGGCAGTTTTATGAAAGAAATCCAGTCCAGCAGAATGCAGAGTATACATAACTTAATATAAAGGAGGTACACCAGTGCCACATGAAGAAAGTGGACTGCTGAATGGGTTGTAATGTGGCATAACCAAAATAATACTACATCCTTGTAGTTAAACTTCTGACTTGTGTTTATTTTTTGGCTTAAAACGCAGTAATGACTTTCTTTGAACAAAAAACTTAATGCACAGAAACAAAACAAATTTTTACCTAACAAAGCCTATGGTGTCAATTTTTGCATCTGTACTATTCAGATAATTGTCTAAGTAAACAGTCTGAGTTATGTCTCTAAGTAAAGCATACAAGCATGAGTATTACAGTTGAGGATCAGACTAGCCATTGAAGCCAGTTCAGCAGAAAGCAGTCTGTATATACAGGTATCATGTGTTCATGCTATGGAATTTCAGAATGCATCATCTCAATGATAACTGAGGATGCAGTAGGTAGAAAGTAAAAGTACCGTATCACTATGCTGGATCTTAAAAATGAAGGAGACTGAAAATTGTGAGCATATTGAACTGTACGTAGAAATTAATTAAAAAACATCTGACAGCATGTAGAAAACTCATTTAAGATGTTTTCTATGTGAACTCTACTAGGCAGTCTGGCATGGAGATACATCACCTAAAAACTAGAGCTAGTCTTTTATATGATGCTTTTTTTATGGTAGTATCTCGTGTTTGCCGTATTTATATATAAAGACAGCTCCTTATGACTGATTTTTTTTTTTTAAATGGCGTATGGTATGTTTTGAAGAAAGAAATCCATGAAAAAATTCCATTTGCATAGAGATGTTCTAGTCTACACAATACTAACATTGTGTTTTGTCTTAACATTTCACATTTCTGGTTTGATTTGTTGTCCTATGTCCCTGGGTAGCAGTGCAGCTGTTGAAGTTTTTAATGCTCTGGCAACTGGAGCAGAATTTGCATTTTATTACTGCTTGCTTTTGTGGTACAGGATTTCTATGCTTTCTAAAACAAGTAGATTCTTTGGAACAAGATGATGTGTTGTTACTAAATTTCTTTGTAATGCTAGTGATGGTAAAATCCTAGACCAAATGTTCAAAATAGTGTTTAATTTTGACCTGGTAATCCCCTGTTGTGTTTGTCACTAGTAAAAGAATTTGCCATAATGAGTAAAACCTTCAGACCTGATTAAGGTGATTTAGTTTGAGTTCAAATATAAAATAATAATTTACTCTTTTGGTACAGAGAGGCATTAATAGTTTTCACATCTTTCTCTAACCAGGAAGTGTTTGAAAAGGAACAATCTATATGTGCAGCGGAAGAGCAACCAACAGAAGATGGGGTAAGGAAGAATCAATGTTCTTCTTACTAGCTAAAGAGAACTAACTTTCAGATCTTGAGTTCCTAATTGTGTGCTTCTCAAGCATTTTTTTTCTCCAGAAATGCCTATTGAAGTTCTCTTGAGCTATGCTTTCTAACTTTGGTTCTCAGCTTAAAATGCTTAAAATACAGTGAATGCCTGAAATTTAATGAACAGAATAAATATTTTAAATACTGCTTTCCTGCAGCAAGGAGATGTCAACAAGGTTAAGAGCAAAGGATGGCAGCAGAAGAATAAAGGAACCAAGAAAGCTTCAAAATCAAAGAAAAAGAAGCCATTGAAAAAGAAAGCTGTGCCACCTTCATTGCAGCCACCAAAACAGCAGAAGCAAAAACAAGCTAATGGGGTAGCTCATAGATTTATTGATGTTTTAGTATTTTGTTCAGCTTATCACTCCTCTTCTGATGGTTTTTTTGTATGTCTGTTACATTTCATTCTGTGCTTTTGTAAAGCATATCTCCTAAAATAGCATTTTTTTCTTTACATTTAAATTACTGGTAAAATAATCACAAAACCACCACAGTAACGTTTCCAGTAGCCTGCTGAAAGTTGTGTCCAACTACTTTACAAGTCTGGCTTCATAGTCCCTTCTTATTAGTTCTAGTTGCCTTCTGGGAGGTGAATTGTTCTGTACCTTCTACTTTTCCTTTAAAGGAAAAAACTGAAATGAGACTTTCTTCTGGTAAATTAAATAGCTTTAGTACCTTCATGCTCCCACTGCACGGTGTTTTCTCCAACTCATGGACTATGTTGTAGGTACTTTCTTACATTCTCTCTAATTTTCTTATGACTTCTTGAAATGCAACCCCAGAATCAAATACTGTTTTCTCTTCTTCATGTTGCGGGTGCCGTATGGAGAAAAGAAAATTGCTTCCCTGTTCCTTTTAGCACATGAGGTGAAAAGGATTAATCTTCACTGTAGACATGCTCTGTGTACACAAGAGGAGTGTAGATCAGAATAGGAAATAAGGGCTAGGACCTTAAGACAGGTGCTGTGAATGCTGCGTGCTACAATAATGCAGACAAAGTTAGAGGTTTTTGTTGTTTGTTGTTTTTTTTTTCTTTCCTATTAGGAAGTAGTTGCAAAGGAAGAAGAAGAGGAGATCTCTGATAAAGGAAGTGAATCTGAAGAAGAAGAAACAAACAGGGACTCTCAAAGTGAAAAAGATGATGGAAGTGACAGAGACTCTGACAGAGAACAAGATGAGAAGCAAAACAAAGATGATGAAGCTGTAAGCCTTACTTTTTCTTGAAGGGTAATGTTGCCTCTGGGGTTGAGAGAAAATGCATTTTAATCCTCTAGGATCCGCTCAGGTTAGGCAACACTAGGATGAAGGAGTAATATCAGTTCTCCAGAGGTTTTCAGACCTCATTCCGGCGTAAGGGTTTTGTTATTGCAAGCGTGTGTCAGAGAGACCAGTGAAGGGTCTTTGCAGCATAGATAGAAAACTTAAAAATGACGTGAGAAAAATAGCTTAACTTCAGGGAAAGATTGTAATGTTTCTTTCAGTTTAATTTGATTACTAGCTGCTGCAGATTTTGTGAGATAGTCTCTCCTTTGAACTTTGTTCTTTGCATGCAGTAGCTGTTGCAATGCATACTGTAAGCATGCAGTAGTTGAATGAACTTGTACATGTACTTACATGTGCTAACTTAATTATTAAGTTAGTCATTCGAAACTGTAATTGTAATTGAGAATGAGGCATTGTGGTGGTAGATGATTTCTGCACCACAGGTCTTACAATGGAAGACTTGAGAGTGACAGCTGGAAAACCCGTACAGGGTGAGAATAAGTTTCTGATGGGAAAAGAATCATCAAGCTTGTAATCAGGACTCTTGCAGCTCAGATAGTGAGTCTTTATAGGCAGTGCTGTAGAAGTGAGTTTTGAAGAATGTGTGCAAGCCCCGCAGATCTGTGTTTTGTTTTTTTTTTTTTTAATATTTACATGAATGGTTTTTTACTGTTGCTTGATGATTTTTTTTTGCTTTTAATCATACTGTATAACTTAATCTCTACGTGCCTTTCCCTTTTATAATGTAGTGCAGCGCAAGAACTTGTCATATGTATCATTTCCATGGGCTAAAATTTCTTTCTTTTTTTTAATAATGCAAAAGATGGCTAGTGCACAGTAAGTCTTTAAACTTGTCTTCGACAGGAGTGGCAAGAATTACAGCAAAGTATACAGAGAAAGGAACGAGCCCTTCTTGAAACGAAGTCAAAGATAACGCATCCTGTTTACAGTCTTTTTTTTCCTGAGGTCAGTAATAGCAAACATTACAGTTGTGAAACATGAGAATGAATATAGTACAGATTAATTGCTCTTTTTATATTTTGACTGTAATACTGGGCTTTTAAAAAAGTCTAATACTTGAAAAAATTGCTAATCTTCATTTAAAAGAAGTCTTAATTTGTAGAATCCTCTTAAACTCCTTCAGATACTTTCCTAAAACTTTCGATGTATTATTCTTTCTACCCAGTTCCCAGAGACTTGCAAACGTGTATGGTATTTAAGGTTCCTTTTTGATAGCAATAATGCTAAAGTTTTTTTTTCTGCTGATTTGCTACATATAGATAGATTCAGAACGAAACTTTTCAGATATAGGGATTTAATTTATAGTCCTTTTCTTCTCTTTTTTTTTTTTTTTTGCTATGGAACGTGAAAGCACAACAGTGGCTCTAATATAGAGTTAAGGGTAGAGTATTACTTGCTCTTTATATAACTGCAAGTGCCTGTGCGCAGGGCGGGATCCTGACCCCTCCTGTGTTAACAGTAATGACAGGAGAGTTTGCGGGTCATTTGGATCAGCAGATTGTTTTGGCTTGCTGCTTGACTTCAAGCCTCAACGCAACAGTGCGGTGGCCACATAGGGTGGAGAGGGTTGGCAAAGCTGTCTCTCTGTCACAGTGTAGTCTGGAAGTGGCGGAAGCCAATTGTGGAACAATCTTTCCGATAGAGCTCAAAAATACAAGATTAGGTGTGGATGGGTATCAGAGAAAGGGATGTATTTGAGAGTGGTGACTCAGTACAGTGGGTAGGCTGAGGTGTCTCTACAGCAGCCTTTGGTGTTGAAAGTATTTTCCGATATGTCAGTTGTTATTTACACAAACAGCTAACCACTCAATAGGTGTCTGAAAACCCATTACAGCAATGATATCTTGAAAAAGATGGGATTTTTCAAAGCGTGGGTTTTGTGTTCTGAGCAGATAAGTCTTCGGGAGGCGACCAGATTGGAACCAGGAGGAAGGAGTATTTGGCCACACTTTCTTTCCAGGCCAGTGGTTCAGAGGGTTTCCTTTGCTTCCCTGCTGCCTGACTAGGGAACTAATCTAGGATCTCTCCTCTCTTGTCGTGCTATCTCAAATAACAGGGAGGCGGGATGCAAGGCTTATGCTTTCTCTTGTGGTTTAAAGGAGACAACTGAGACAGGGAAGAACAGGAAGACATGAGAAAAAAGGAAGACACTGTGTGTATTTGTTCCCTCTTTTCAGTCCCCAAGGCTCTTTATGTCTATACCCTGTACAGCTTGTTGCGTGTGCAAAACATACTCTGTTATCCCCATGCTTGTGATCATACTGTTCCTGCTGTTTTTACCTAGTTCTGCCATCATTAGGAAGTAAAGTGTGGGAAGCAAGACCTGTTGCTAAGGAGCCAGACAAGATATACAAATAAACCAAAGAAATTGTCTTCCTGAAGGCCTTAGCTGAGAGTTGTGTGGCCTCATGACTTCTAGTTTTATAATGGCTGATCTTAATGCTGTATTTTCCTGATACTGTTGGGTACCCTCCCATCTGTCAATACAGCTTCCAGCAGTACACCAGCATAACAGAAAAAGGTGTACTGGCATTCTGCTCTTCTGGCTGCCTTAGATCATGTCAAATATGCAGCAGAGTCTTAATACCTCCTTGCTGCAAAGGCAGCTGGCTTTGGTCATCAGTCTAAGCTCAAACAGTGAGTATGTGCTATGCCCAGTGCCACAGGGGTGCTAACGATCTGTATTTCTTTTTTACTGCACTGAGGGTTCCTTCAGAGACTTGGCTTATACTTACTCTGTACAAAGCTGCTTAAGCTTCAGCTGTGTGTAACCAAGCTGCTGATGGGTTTTACGATAAAACCTAAATACAGTGTTATGCTAAAAAAAAAATCTAGGGCTGAACAGAATGCTTGAACTTGAAAGATACACACGTATTATCTCATGGTACTGCAGTTGTAAATTTTCCAACCTCTCTTCACTGATTTTCTGAAAGTTGAATGCAGCTGTACTTAGTGCTGTAGCTGCAGTTGGAGCATGTTCGGATAGAGTTGATCTGCAATGTCTGAAGAACAAAATCCATTGTACTCTCTGCGTGTTTTTTCATCTGTGATTTAGAGTATTACGTGTATTGTGGTCATGGCCAGTTCAGAGATGCAGAGTTAAGGATGAAATGCTGTAGTTGTGTGAATCTCTGCATTTCCAGAATTTACGGATGTTTGAGTGTAGCTGAGCCTAATATACTTGTTCTCAGGAGGTAGCCTTAACACTGTTTCATCTAAATTTTTGGGCAGTTGATTACTCTGCCAGGGATGCATCTTTAATCTGTGCAGGTTCCTAAATAATTATCTCTGCTCCTGCATCCATGGATCCAGAAACTGCACAGATTGTAGTTTTGACATTTTTAGGTAGAAACTGGCCCTGGTGTTCCAATTTCATGAACATACTGGTTCCCTGGCATGCCAAACCTTGCACCCATCTGTTAAAGGGCATTTTGCCTGCTTGCCTGTTAGCTTGCCAGATTCTCACAGGCATAAACTTTAAATTCCACCCAATAAGAGAGAGGAAAATAACACTTCTGCACAGTTGTCCTTTCTATAAAAAAGCAGTGGCACTTTGGGTCAGGAGCTTGACTTCCTAAGAGTTTACTCTATAGATTCCTCTGAGCATTAGATCAATGAATGTCATTTGTTTTGGTATTTCTTCCCCCCTTGGCTGTTACTTCTACCAGTTTTTGTGAAAATCCAGTTGACAGTTTTGATCTTTGTTCTGAAAAAAAAAAAATTCCTTGCCATTGAGAGTGATGGAAACATACATAATGTATAGTAAGTCAGCACAGTGTTTTGGTAACATCAAAAATAACATATAGATAAAAATGCGGATCCTTTTTTCTATGGTCAGAGTCCTTTATAGGCCCAAAATGGTGAGTAGCTATTTCTGTAATGGGTCTAGCTTCTGCAGTTCTTTTTCATCTGTACTGTTTATACTGTTTATTCTTCTATTCCTAGAGGCCCCTCGGCTAGGAAATAAACACTTTGACTGTGTAAGAATCTTCTTTGCTACAGCTGTCAAGCAGATGGACAATATATTTATTGTTGAAACTTACAGATAAAATATCTTATGCCTTGTAATCACAGGGGACAGTTTTTCATAAAGAAAATCACTTGGAATAGTTGTAAAAAGGACTTCCTATAATTCTACAAATTGTGGTCTTAAGTAGTATATGAATAGGTTTTTGTCCTGTTCTCAGTGCCTGTTGTTCTAAACAAGTGAAGGAATGCTGTTGCTTTACCGTGATGCAGTTGCTTTTACTTTTATACACTGTAAAATGGGCATTAACATATTGAATTAATTTTACACTCCTGTGCTCTGGGACTCAACAGTGCTAATCAGGGTGTTTTGGTTGCTGGTGTGAGTGTCTTGCCATTGTAAATCTGTAGTTTGCTAGTTGAATATTTCAGTGAGATGGTGATAATTATTACTAGCGTAACAATCAGTCACTTCAAAAGAGAAGAGGAGTTAATTTAGCTTTTGTAATTTTTCAGCCTGCATTATCTAAATTTCAGATCACCAAACATTGACTTCTGAAGTGTTTAAAAAAAAAACAAAAAAACAAACCAAAAACCAAAGAAAACCACAAAACCAAAAAAAAAACCTAAACCACACCAAAACTACTGAACTTTTGACTCTTTTAGTAGAGACAAAAATTCTTCAAATTCTACATATTAACAGCATTTGCTTCCCACCTGTGGAATTTGGAAGGAGTTCAGTGGTGGTGTTAAAGTCCACTGTATCCTTTCATTCAGTCCTTCTAAGGCTGTTAGATTAAAAATGAAACTAAACAAAACAAAACAACTGCTTTCATGTGGCACTGAAGCAACTGCCTGATTGTTGTTGGTGTAAATATATAAAAATTGGCTTCCTGGTTTGGAGCTTGACTTGTAACTGTCATAAGATGCACTCTTTAGGGCTCCAGTTACCAGACCATCAGGGATGGGTAAAAATTGTTTTGGAACACAGTTCATCAGTCTAACATTTGGGTTATCTAAAAGGTGTGGGATTTTCCCCTTTTTTCCCTAAAGGTTATGACTATTACCTATCACCCCACCCCTCACTCTTTTTAAGAAAAGACTTAAGGAGGTGAAGGAACGGAAGCTTGCTTTGCAGTACTAAACTAACTTCTTTGTAATAGAAAGGTTTCAGCTTCTATTAAAACAAAGTGGATTTTGCCTTAAAATGTGTGCCAGAGGGTTAACCAAAAGAACAGTGGTTAAATGAAGAACAGTTGATGTTGAAGAGCTGTAAGTCTTTCCCATTTGAGCATGGTTGTCTGTGCTGCTGAGCTGCACCACAGTCTTAAAAATTTGACTCCAATTGAGAGGTAACTGTTATTTTTGTACAGTGTTGCTGTCTTTTATGAAGGACTACACTCATTTAATTTCATTTAGTTTAGGAACTGTGCTTTAGTGCCTGCAGTGGCAAGACCTTTGAGACCTGTAGCTATTTTGAAAGCTGTGTGTGATGGGCAGCAGTTGTTGGGTATCCTTTACAAATATCAGTATTGCCTGCAGTCCATACTTCATTAAAGTGAAATCTCAATATGTCCAAATTCCAACTTTCAGCAGATTCCCCCTTTTTGGAGGGGGAGAGAAGTGGGGCAAAGCATACTTTACTGAAAAAGATTGTTTACCGGGAGGAGTACTTTATCTGTCTTTTGGCACGCCTTGCTTTATATGCTGATACCTTTTTATCCAGGCTGGATTCCTGTTGAAGGACCTAAGGTAGTATATTGCATGAAGTTGCTCGTTAATCCTCAGTGGACACAATTCTTCAGAACAGTTCCATGTTTCACATGGTAGCTTAGGCTGAATATATGGAACGAAGCCTTTGGAGACCAGCAGTTACTTGTGATAACCTGTTTGCTTTCAGTGTGCAACATACACTATGTATTTTATTCATACACATCCAAGAGTTCAAAAAAACCCCCACCAAACACAAACCACTTCCTTTCTATCTGTATTATAAGGACCACTGAATCATAATTACCTGTTATAAAATGTAGGGGCATAATTTTATATGACTTCAATAATCCTGGTTTTTTGTGGTTTTTTTGTTTGTTTTTTTTTTTCTTTTATGAAAGGAAAAACAAGAATGGTGGTGGCTATATATTGCAGATCGGAAGGAGCAGATGCTAATATGTATGCCATATCACGTTTGTACACTAAAAGATAAAGAAGAGGTAAAGTACTTGAAAAATTTTCTTTTGGGGTATTACAAAACTGTACTAACGTGTCTTATGGTATGCAAATACATATAGATTTTAATTTTTTCATACTTATCTCTTAAGATGGAAAACAGATTTTACTCTCCTGATAAAAGCAGAGAAGAGCCTTTTAACTGTGAAAATTAATAATGGAGAAAGAAAAAATAGTTTAAGACGACTTTCAAGTTTTCTTTTTTTCTCTCCCTGATATCAAACGCTGATGAAAACCAGTATTCGTACACAATGATCATTCTTAAAGTTATTCAAATGTGTGAGAAATACTAACTGTTCTTTTTCTGTAAAGCAGAGGCTGTGACAAATTAATTAGCCTCGGCTCATATGAACCTTTCTGAGACTGTAACCTTTGGCTGTGTTCTTTGCTTTTCTGAAAAATGGAGATTTGATGTGTTTTGTTCCTTCAAACTAGATTTTATGTTCCATTTCAAATAACAGTAGAGTTAAGCTAATACTTTCAGCAGACTAAATATTTTAACCTGTTTGGGTTTTTGAGATTTAGGAAGCATACAACAGGGTAAAATTGTGTACTTAATGTAGAGTTACTTGGTCTAATTCAGAAAATATGTGACTTGATGATTATTCAACTTTCATGGAGGGTATTGTGCTTGGGTATTCTGTCTCTTTTCTGTGGGTATTTTATTATGTAGAGATTTTTCAAAGAAGCGTCACTTGTAAGAAACTAAAACTTTTAAAGAAAAAAAGTATTATTCTGTAGTAGTATTTATTGCTCATTAGAGTACTTGGGTACTAGTTCTAATGTGTCACTTGAAAGCAGTAAGAAGTTACGGTGTGAATTCTGTTTTGCAGGTAGAGCTGAAGTTCCCAGCACCAGGCAAGCCTGGAAACTATCAGTACACAGTTTATTTAAGATCGGATTCATATATGGGATTGGACCAGATTAAACCATTGAAGGTGATGTTTAATTGTGTTATATATTTGTATTGTATTGAAAGCTACTTCATGTGGCTACCAAAACCCCCAAAGTCCTGTTATCTTCAAGAATTCAAGCTGTCCTAATTTTAAAACAGTGGCAAGGAGGGACTTCTAAGCAGTTTCTGCCTGATGCCAATAGTGGCAATTTTATGATGGATTAAATGGGACTAACGTTTGTGATGCTTTCCAGTGCCTGCATATTTTAATACACGTTTTCTCACTTTTATTCAATTTCTGCAGTATGGCTGGCTCTGCCATGCCATTTCCCTGCCCTTAGTCCTAGATACATCCAGTTAATGAGAAAAATCTGGCATGCTTTATTTCTGGAAGCAGTTGTTGGTTTTGTTTTGGGTTTTGGAGGGTTTTTTTGTTTTGTTGTTTGTTGTTTTTTTTTTTTTAAACTGTCAATTTTGTGTGGCATGTCACTGGTTTTGGGGGTTTTTTTTGTTTTCCCAAATTGGTGTGTATTGTCTGTAACCCTTTTTTCCCTGTCTTTTCTTTCTTTTCCTTTATCCAATTACAGCTGGAGGTTCATGAAGCAAAACCAGTGCCAGAAAATCATCCACAATGGGATACAGCAATAGAAGGTGATGAGGACCAGGAAGACAGCGAGGGCTTTGAAGACAGTTTTGAGGAGGAAGAGGAAGAGGAGGAAGATGATGATTAAATAATACTATTGATTGACTACAGTATCTTCACACACTGCAAACTCTTGGTCTGACTGTGGAACTGTACAATAACCAAGAAACACAGTACAGAAGCTTTGAGAAGGCTGAGTTTAATTTTTCTTTACCAATTAAGAGTGCATTATGTAACTTCTCAGTGGAGGTGAAACAAATCTGTTTCCATTGTTGCCATTGATACACCTTGGAATATGCTTATGGCTCATTATAGCCTTCAAGTGCAGGACGGTGCATTTGTTTCAATTGAAAATAAAAGCTTTTTTATTATAAATGTCCAAAAGTGTGGGCTATGTATTGTCTGATCAGTTTAGGGTCCAATTTAAATAAAAGGTACTATTAGCTAGGAGCAAACTTTAAATCAATTTTTCTGCATTAGGAATTTATTTTAGAAAACGTTTTGGTATATTTGACATTACAAATCTCTGTTGATTGAAACAACATCTGCTCAACTTTCAAACTTGATTGGTTCTGTGGTATTCATTAAATATTTTGCTGTGATACTGCTCACATCATTCATAGCTTTAAAAATCTGTTTTACTTAACTTGATCATTATAAATTGGCATCATACTCATTGCCACATTCCATATATTCTGGAGGGCTGCTTTTTTAGGACTGTTGCCTTTTTATGCCCAAGATTATAATGGAAATCATAAACTTTCTTGACTCTGCCATAGGATACTTATTAATGGCTTAAAACATTTTTAAGCCTTTATTTCATCAGATCAACAGAAGATCTGAGTCTTTTGATAAACAAAATGTCTGAAAGCAATTTTGGGACCACGTGTTATGTAAGTTGGTGGCTTTTGTGTAATACCTTTATAAAAGGCACATGATGAAAGCCGAAGTGTATTCTTAACTCTGAATCTATCTGACACTGTCGGAAACATTTTAAGGGTAAAATACAACATGCAAAGAGGGCATGTTTTGTATCAATTTTGAATTCCCATCAATAAACTGGACAATTTGATGGCTGTTTGCATTTGTAATAGTGTGCATCTCTGAGTTTTTTTACCTCAGTCTCCTGCAAGGCTGTAAACAAGACAGTGATTCTATCCCTACTCCTGTTTTAAAAAAAACAAGTCTAATTAGAGAATAAATTCAGGGAGGAGAGAATCAGGGCTGTTAGTGTATTGTATGTCTTGACAAAAGCCGTGGATGGATTCTTCCTTTTCCTCCTCTCAATAAACCAAACGAAGGTGATTAATTAAAAGTTGTATTTCTATATTTCAGAAATACATAGGAGTGTTCTGCAGGTAGGAACAGATATATTTCTGTTCCTATTTATTGAACTATGAAAATGCAATGCTGTAAAATGTGACAAATTGTCATGCAGGAAAATTTCCATCCTGTGAAAATTGCCCAAAGCCAGAACAGGTGCACACTGATTTGTGACCTTGTTTATCAGAAAGGGTTGTCACTTTAAATGCAAATTTACATTGTTATATTCTTTGTAATTGCAATAGTTGCAAATAAAATTTGAAAATGTTCTAAATGAGATTATGGTATCTTTCAAAGTACTTCTGAAGTGCATATTGTGCAGGAAAAACTGTAAAGCATTAGCAGTGTCAGGTGTTCAAACTCAAGAATGAAGACTAGGTTTAAATTAAATGGCTTGTACACTTGATGCCTTTTAACTCTAGTTTTTAATTGCAAAATACAGTAGAGAAATAACAATAAAAAAACACTAGTTCCATTCCATAGGCTTTCAAGCCAAATACTGCACTGATGAGAGAAATGCTTGAGGAAGAGTCACCAGACTTCTTATTATCAAGTAGGCAAAATGAATGCTAAACTTACATTGTTCTGCTAAAACAATTCATAGTGAACTTCTGTGGTGGTTAGAAGTTGGGAAGTGATTATGGTTAGGAGCTCTAATTGATAATAAGAACATGGGAGGGGGGGAGTGCTCTGACTACTGATCCCTAAATTTGACTACTAAAAGTCAAGGTATATTACTTGCAAGATATGAATGCATTGAAGTGATTTAAAAAAAAGAAGAAAGAATCATGTCCCTGGACTGAACACTGAAGTATTTTCTTCTTAAAGATCGAAGCTGACGGCTGGGATTACACTGAAAGTCTGCAAACCAAGGATAATTCTATCGAGCTAACAAAAGGCTAAATCTAATATTTCTTCCAATGTGGGTCTCCTTTATAGTCAAGGTAACTTAGTAGAAGATGTGAGGAAAAGAATTGCAGTGGTACTGGAAATCTTCATAATGTGAAGAAGGCATGCTGGTAGTTTTACACCACCTTCCAAGACACATGCAAAAATGGGGCGGAGGAGGTATTTAAGAGCTTCACACAACTGAAAACACCAGCTGCAGATGCACAACTCTATGAGTGTTACTACATTATTGAATTGTTGGTTGGTCTCTCGTGTGGTGTGTCCCTTAATAACCATTTTTTAGTAACAATTGGAATTGTCATTCAAAGATTAACTAAGTCTCTCTTGAATAACAGTTACCAGGGTGGGTAAAACTTTACAGGAAGAAGCAGCATTTTGCTCTCACTGTTGTATATGTCTTGCTTTTTGATAGGGATGAATTCAGCCAATTTTGCACCTAACTCTTTTGAAACTCTGGACTAGTAACTGAAGAGTAAAAAAGTTCCAGAAATAAAATCTGCTTTGCTGCTGCATCCCCTGTGCAATAGTGGCCCAAGCATAATTTGGAAGCATCTGGTATCGTTTCAGTGTGACCAGCTTTATTTTTGCCTTTTTGCTGTCACACTCTCTTTTTGTAGCCTCTTGTCCTAGATCAGAGTAGGCACGTGCACAGCTGGACTGTCCGCCCAAGCAGAGATGCTGCAAATACCTTCAGGGCTTGCAGAAGCCGCTTCCAAGGGGAAAAAATTGGACTTGGCTAGAATAGGCAGGAGGGCGACGCAGTGCAACTGGCCCTGCTCCTCCTGGCCCGGCTTGTGTGTTGGTACGGGGTGCGGTAACTTGCCATTAGTAGGTGGCCGGACCGTGAATTACATTTAGGGTAGATAAACACCGCTTGTTAAAATACAGGATAAATTTGAAGTAGATATGTGCAGGTAAAAGAACAACTTATAAAAGCGGGATTTTTTTGTTTGTGTAAAACTATTTAACCCTTCTGCCCCCCCCAAATGTTGACAGTGGTTGGTTAATATTGAAGGAAACTTCAGGTTTTTCTAGTCTGATGCTGGATGACTGGAAAGTTACACTTGTGCAAAAAACTGATAAACCGTCTCTAAATCGCAAGTGTCTTGTGAATGGAAAACCCTTAAGCTGTAGGGGAAGAGAAGGTGCTTTTTCCACTGCCTGGGTGTAGTTCCATCCCGTACTCCAGCAGGGGGAGGCAGGGGTATGGATTTCTTCAGGAAACCCTGGGATTCTGCCAGGGGATACCAAGCGTATTTTGAGCTGTAGGTTTGGTTTTGTTTTCCTCCTTTCTGGAGGAGGAAGGCATAAGTGGAGGTTTCTTTTCTCTATTTCTTTTCTTTTAAACAAACTCTACTGTTACACGTGCATTCCCCCTATTTTTATACCTGTTTATTTGTGGGGTTTTTCCCCCAAACTCCTTGCTGACTCTTCATTTAAAAACTGCTGAAGGAAAGCCATTT